TTCAACTTAGCAGTAGTAGGCATATCGCTCATCTCATCATGATCAACCAAAGACAAATGTGCACTATCATGATCATTATCACGAATATTCACTTTACCGTCAACTTCATCATTTTCAAACTCTTTAATAACAGAAGTAGACAATTTTGGTTCCTCCTCGCAAATCCTAAAAGGTTTTATAACTTCACTCTGACTAGTAATACCTTGTAAACTTGCGGAGTCAGCACTGCACTCTGAAGCAGCAACTCTATTCTGTGACACTCTATTCAACAATGGCTTACCAGTTGCAACTACAGACTTCTTGACCGCACCGTTATCGTCACACAATTCGGAGTCAGGCCTGGAGTTTACATTTAGCTTATCACTGAACTTGCTCACTGGTTCACAGTTCACTTCTGTATGCACCTCTTGCAAACGTGTAAAACACAACCGTGTTTGTCTTGCATCTTGTAACTTATCTGCTGAGGATGTACTACGTATCCTGTTACACTCACTAGGTCTATATGCATTACTAGACATCATGGAGCCTTCTCGATACCCACCTCTCTGAGGCATACTCGTCATCAATGATTGCATTTTGCTCTCAGACTGCTCTATTCTAGGGGTGAGATGTAATAGACTGGCGAACTTGCTCATAGATTGATTGACACTATCTTTTACTAGTTTCAGCATATCATCAAATTTTGGCTCGATACCCTCATCCTCCATACGGGAGCTTATCTTCACCCACTTCCTTTGCAGTCGAGTAGGTAGGCGTCTTGCTATTACTTCTAGTATAAAACTCGAGTTGAGGTCACTCATGCAATTCATAGTAATCTAGGTATTCTTATAAGTCATCAGATTATCCAAAAACTCAGTAAGTGCCTGGGAGTCATCTTGAAGTTGACTGCCGTTACCTTTGACAGCTTCGTATACGTTCCTTACAATCATTGAAGGTCTTCCAAACCTTTGACGTAATATGCTCATAGCCTCATCGTATCCCTCTTTTGGCTTCATAAACTTACAGCACTGTATAGCTCTTGCAGCATCTCCAGTGCAATACCTCATCAAATACATTAACTTCAATTCATCACTTAATAAAAAACTACTCAACATGATCTCAAACTCCTTTACAAACTGTAAATAATCAGCCGGGTTTCCATCAAAACACCGTGGTTCAAACTTAGGGAGTTTGATGTTCCTATTATCGCTGAACGGCGAAACAGTAACATCAACCATGTCATGCTCAACATCAGAAACATCGTTACAATTAACAGACAAGTCACCATGACTTACTTTCCTGTTTGCATCCAAGACACTCTGTCCCTTCTTTGACCCAGGCATTGTTGAACTTGACCCAATTCCAAAAAAGTTCCAGATATTGCTTGTTCAAAGAGGACTTGACCGGCACCAGGAAAGATGAACGGTGAATATCCAAAGTCGTGCCAACTGTCCAAAACCGTTGAAAATCTGACGTTCTACCGTCAGAAACTGTCAGCCACGTCTCGTAAACCGTTAATGCCCAGCTCTTGCTGCACTCGGGCTCACTCTGTTCCTTGAAGTTTCTCAGAAACGCTTAGTAATAACGGACGAAAAAACCAAAACACCAATTGGCGACTCGAGGATTCTTTATTGTAACACCAACATATAAACACTGTTACAACTAAGGTCTGTGAACAAATATTACAATATTGAATCACAATATTACATCTGACAGTTGTCTCCTGACTTCTTTCTGAACAGTGACCGATGAGACGATGACTGTCGTATTGATGCCTCCGCGAAAATTGGGGAAGTTGGTTTTGAGCAAACAACCATGAATTGATCGTTCAATCTCCAACTACATTGTCAACAATTCTTTATCGACACTTCTTAATTTCACACAGTATTTTCTTAGCGGCCTAGCTAAAGATACCTGATAACAACTGACTTTAGATTTTTGACAACCAGAATCTACACACTGTATCCAGCTGAGTTATACCGGGGGGGGGGCGTATTTCCCGACCAGTTGGCAGAGGGCAGTGAAGCTCTCTCTACGATCCATTCAAGATTCACACTAAACGTAGTGAGTAGAAACGGCCTTCGTGGAAAATGAAATATCGCACATTCAATTCTGAAGTTAAAAATATATGTACACGCTACATATATATATCCGCCAAAGAATGTTTATCGGGTCAACAACTCGGGGCTTCGACAGAGAATGCTTAACAACCTACTTTTATGTCAGAATAATTTTTCAGATTGGAGACCGACAGATCGTAGCATTGTAGAAGTCTAATGATGTATATGCACCTTAATTTTTGAAAGCTTGGCGGAGGGCAATTAGAGAAGGAGACTAGTCACATAAACGGAGGGACACTCTTCGTTAAGTGGATAAATAAAGCCTTAGAAATCACAAAGATGTGTCTTCTACTTCGCTGATCGTACCATCCTCCTGAATCCCTACGACCCACTCGTCTCTTCCCATTGAGGTTCTACTCGAGCAATGGCCTGGTGAACAATGTCGTTCGACGGCTTCCTCAACGTGTGCCCGATCCATCCATCTCCATTTTCTCCCACATATTTGGGGGCAATCGGTTCTTGGTCGGTTTGTTCCCAGAGGTTCTTGTTACTAATTCTTTCTGACTGGCTGGCTGGTGGGCCATTTCATCTTCAGTATGGAGCCAGCCAGCCAGTGAAGGAGGCAGCTCCTGGTGAAAGTTTGCAGCCTCTTGGAAATCCTTTTCGTCACTGACACGCAGTGCAAGTCTCTGATCCGTATAGAAGAACTGACCGACTTGACATTGGTGTTGAGAATCTGAATCTTGTTCCTCATGCAGGCTCAATGAAGCAGAAGATTTCCGAATCGGTTTCAGGTTGATGAAGGCGTATCTTGTTGACTTGAATAAATTATTGCTACCATTAAAACAGGCCTCTGAAAATGCACACAGTATGTAGTTTGGTCCTTCCTCATGTATCACTATTGTGACCTAATTTAACGAGATCTCGGAAGTTCCATCTATATCTCTCTGCACTTTCACCCAACTTCTAGATGCTGGCAGTGAAGCAGGCTGTATTCTAACACTCTTTGAGGGCAAATTTTCAAAGCATTGGTGTGAGCGGCATTTCAGTATCATCGGTGACATCTATTACTGACACCATCAACAACACGATACAAATCACAGAGACAGTTCGTGTCTTCGCACAGTTCCTTTTAGTTTGTAAATGGCTTCCCATGAAAAACGTATCTAGTGGTGATTTTTAACCAGTTATTTAATGCTGCTCACATTATGCCCCTTGTGAGACGTTGAGATTTCTGTCCACACCACGACTGTTATAGCCTGCTTGACTTCTCATGTGTTAGACCTCAGTGTGTGTCCTATCGCCAAAAGCACATATACAGTTCCTACAGCCTCAGAAACAATTGAAACAATTTTCAGTATTCTTTAAGGTTTTGATAACACCGAACCGATGCGCCTGAAGAATTAGTATGAGGCAGCGCAGAATCAAATCTACTTAGAACAGAAGCATACTAGATGGTGAGTATTTGGTCGACACCTCCACCCAAACGACTACGCTAATTCAGTGAAGCTCAGCACCCCGATATGAGTGCTGATTTTTCTGCATGCTGTCCAATATTTCCCTGTTCTCATCTTCACACATCAACCAATTTACTGAATTCCTTATCTGCCTTACGTTCTTCACTTAAATGTCATTTAATATAGTTATTATACGCTTACTGTTCCTTCTATCCCTATTACGTTAACTGTCATTATTACTGATAATGGTATATATCGTTTTGTTCATTCAAGCGCCTCAAATAACAAATAAAAATTAAAATAAATAAATAAAGTAAAATAATAAATAAATAAATAAAAATACAAAACAAGTAACAAATGGAAGGTCAATATCTGATCACAGTAGAGTTGCCGTCATAACACAGACTAAGAGCCTCGCTTCAAACTTGGCTAACCACAGTCGCACTTAGATCCATTATGGAAAAAACTTTATTCTGATAAAATCACTGTGTTATAAAGTAATATATGCGACCACAAATTATTGCTCATAATCAATTCAAGGCACCGTAGCGGTAAACAATTCTCCAAAATTATTGACCATAGGAATCATCAGTGAACATTGGGTGCTGACCCTTAGAGTTTAAGTCGACTTGTTTAGATGAAGGCTTTCGGTCAAGCATCCCGGCCATTTGGTACTCCGTCGTGTCACGTTCGTGCACGATCACTAGCCAGTTAAGCGTTCATCTAACAGCTCGTTTTGGTCCCAAAATATATCGCGTAATTTGGACGATCTATGTACTGTCTTTTGCTTTGCCTTTGGTACGTGAGATTGAAATACATTAAAAGTTGTCGGTATAAGAGCTTGTGTTAATATACCCAGTACTGTTTGCGAACGTCTATAACGTCAACTTCTAAAATACCCTCACAACTGTCTTATTTACATGAGTAAAAATAGATCAGACAGTTGAATAAAATAAATGTTAGATTAAGTACATCCGAAAATAATATTGGCGTTATCAATAAAATTCAAGAATATGGGAAACAAGACTTTTTATAGATGAAAAAAGCAACATTTTAGAATGTTATAATGTGAATTGATTGTATTTTAACATTATTTATGTGGCTGATAATATCTTCCATATCTCTGGTATTTGAGTTGATTAACTTCGATTGAATGTGTTTGGTGTAGACTCGATGAACCAAGATTCAGTGGTCAACCTCTCTCTCCATCAACCTATATTACTTTTTAGAATTTTGATTCTGTCCTACCCTGTTGTATGGTTGTGTTAATTCCTGCAGGGCTATAGCTAAGTTTTTTCCAAGTTACTTATCTTTGTGGGATCATTCATTCTAACCTTAGTTAAATTTTATGTCCTGATGATCCCATCACTCCTGGTCTACCAGTTTGATCGACGTAGTTGACCTAACTCACAGTCATTGCAAGGTATTTTGTAAACACTATTATTTTGTTTAGTTGGATCCACCGGGTCCTTTAGCCTACAGAACTTGGCTCAAGCTAGGTCTAAGTTGACCAACAAAACAAAACGTTGGAAAAGTTAATAAAAAGCACTTCTGACGGGGGATAAATTGACGCGATGAAGTTTGGTCTGTGGAACATAGGGATGTAATACTGAAATCGTCTATTGTTTCTAAACACTGGTGCAACATTAAACTACTCGGACTTACTGCATGGAAATCTACTTAGGTTGGTGAATAACCATTTAGCTTTTATAATGAGGAAGGGAAGAATTGATGATTTAATGCTAAGTAATCAATAACATACGACCTTGAAATTTGTCGCGGCAATATGAAGACATTTTTAACTTTCTGAGGGAAAGTAGTTTACTTATGAAAAACCTCTTAAGATATTATTTTGGACTCACTGTTGGTTTCCTAGCCCCAACAGGATTTTTGATGTGGCTTTTTGTTAGACTGCTTACTTTGCATTCTCAGCAGGCATATCGATACTTCAATGAACTTATACTTTCTTCTTTTATGCGAACTTTTCTGCTCACATTTGGATATATGAGTGTCAGGAAGGTACTTGGCTTATAATTTTATTATGAATAGATATATGTGTATGGAGATGTAGACTTTGTTAAGAATAAAAACGAGAGGGTATTATTTATATCAAACCACCTGTCCACAGGTAAGTATCACTTTAGCATCTTTTCAGTTGTTCCCGAAGTTGACTGGTTTATCTGTTCTATGCTTGTTGCTCATCAAGGTGGTTTAGGAAGGACAAGGTTCGTGCTCCATAAAAATCTCAAATATATACCTATTTTCGGATTTTATCTCTCACAGGTAAATAAATTTTTCGTCAGGTTTACTTCAAACACTAATGTGAATTTTATTTTGATTGGTTAAAGGTTCATTGGTCCTTAGATAAGCATTTTTAATTATGTAGATAAATAATATTTTACAGCTTAGATGTAATGTAATTTCGTGATCTACAAACAGTGACTGGAAATTTTTGCCAGCTTATACGAATTTTGTAATGTACATAAATATTGATGAGTGACTGTTTTCGTTAATCAATTCCTTATCTTTATTTCCATACATACCCCCATCACTATCCTTAGGTGAAATCATATATTTGTTTGGAAAGTTTCATAATTCTCAAAGATGTTTTAGTTTGATATTAACAAATGACTCTTGCTTTCAAAAGTGACAGCTGGCACTGGATCTTAGTTCTACATGGTGTTTGATATTATTAGTGCCCATAATTTCATCCAGTGGGTCTCTTTTCTGAAGATTATGAGGCTCTGTGTTACTCTCGTTCGTAAATTAGTACGAATAAAAATCTGTATTACTCCAGAAATAACTGTTGTCTGGTGCTTTTTGTCATTGTACTAATATAAAGCGGTTTTCCACAGTAGGCATCGGGCTTCTTATAAAGATGTTGTGCAAAGTCGGATACAAACTCTAACATTAAGTGATTGGCACAAATGAAACATAGCACATGAAATTTTATGCCTGCATGAATCAGGTTAAATGTGATTTAAATTATTTTATAACTTGTCAGGCCCTACTAGCAGTCACGGTAGAACTTAGATTTCAATTTGTCACTTCTCTGTTTATTCACAGGCAGGCGCATTTTCTTAATATTTTCATTAACAGATGAATAATTCTGTACAGATACAAGGACCAAGCCTTATTCATTGTTTATGCCCACCATAACAAAGTGAAATGCAAATAAAACTTTTGTTTGACTTTTGGTCCCAATTCTGAGTCCATTTTGTCCTGATCAATAAAACTTAAGCCTTTTTGACAGCGTTTAAGCTCTGTGTCAGGCTATAACGAATGAAAATGTGCTTAGGTTAGGTCTTGTGTGTAGTTTGAAAAATGACTTACTCTGTAAACAACTTACATCCTATTACAACGTTACATCAGTTCTGTTTTATCAGCCTCACAATTTAACACAAAACCAAGGATGGCAATATAATGTACAAAATAAGGGTGACAGAAACTAAAGGAGATAGAAAGAGAATAGAATTTCGGCGGCACTAAACAAATACATCATCATTCCGAACGGTTGCGAGACTTTTCATTAACATTCTGTGTTCACAAATTATCTCCATCTTGAAGACATGAGATCGATAACTGATTTCTCACCACACACAAGTTTTGGGAATATGAACATCTAATAATAACAAATATTTTTAATATTGTTTACTGTACTCTATGATGGGTGAATTCAATTCCGATATCTACTAATATGCTATTTCCATCAAATCTGATGAGTTTACTCACGAAATGTTCAGCCGTTTCTTTTGAATAAGATCTTCATTGTCTTGCTAATATTCGCTGCTACAAATGTAATAATTATCAATATCAGCGTTTATACCAGAATCTATATATTTTTAGCTACCTCTGCAAGTATGCTGTTTAAATTCTAGTGGGGTTTCGACATATATCTAAATCTATTTCACAAAACCGAGAAGAGCGTCAGATTAACCAGTTTCACACTGCAAATAATTTACCTTAGTGTTTAGGCTGACGTTACTGTAACAAAATCCTCACCTTTCTATACATAGTGTGCACTTTTTATGCAATAAGCAGCATATGCAAACTCAAGCTGCTCGTGAATAGTTATTATGACTGGTTGATATTGACGTTTGCTCATCAAAATAACTTGCATGAAATAATTTTTATTGCATACTGAAAAATGTCTTAACCAGTGTAGGTAACGTCAGCAACTAAAGCAATTTCGCATCTAGGTTAAAAGTTCTCAGTACCGCAAAATGCCTATTCTGGCTGAGGACATCTATACTGTATAAAGCACCCTCAGAAACAGTGCCCCTTCCCAATAAATGCTAGAAATATGTATAAACGTAGTATTTTCAAAGTAAAAAGTAAAAAAATAATCTGTCTGTAATTGTATCCATTTTCTTTTGTATTCATAGGATTCGTGTTTGTTTGTTGATCGGCAAAATTTTGACGTAAAAACGGCCGTAAATATACTCAGTAATATGAAGAAGCTCCAATCTAATGTAAGTCGTGGCCGTTTCTTCGCTTCTCTTTAACATGTTCTATGTGATAAAGTGTAGCTTGGTTGATTGCTTATGTTAGCATTTTAGATAAAAAAGTGATAAAACCTCTAGATGTATCTGAAGGGATAAATGTTGAGTGATTTAAATGTTTATTTATTTATTTCAATTCATTAGGTAAACACTAACTAACCTATCATAATCATATATTTAATTCAGAATTATATTTGTTTTTCATGACAAACTGCTAAACTGAACACTTTTTCATTCACAACTTAACAGATACTTGATAACTATGTCCGATTGCTAGTATGCGTGAAATGTTGGTGAATTTCTTTTTATGTCATATGTTATGTTTCAAACTGACTATTCAAGACACAATTTCCAAGCTTACGGTCTGAAAATTTTCGCAAGGTAAACACGACAGTGTTATGTAATTTGTTTCCACTTAAATACAGCTACTGATTTTTAAGAATTGTTTGTCACAATTTGTGACAATTTTAAAAATGAATATTAGTAAACTAGGTATATTAAAGTTAGGTTTGTTTAAGGTATTAAATTTGTATTATAATTTGAATGTTAGGTGTCCATTCACATTATGGTTTCCAAAAGCTTAGAGCATAATATGGAAATACAATGAGAATAAGGTGTTGAAAATTCACATCAACGCATCACACAGATTGCGTTTATATTAGTTGATATTTTAGTCAATTTATAAGGCTGTACTTGCTGATATTCTCTTGATCTCTGTTTCCCTGTTCTTAGTGGTGTTTAGTTAGTGAAGTATTGTTTTAGACTTATAACATTTCAAGTTAACTCCTATGAACATTTTTTGCCCTGTGGGATGAGTCAGATTGTCACACAATACCGAGTTGTAGGGTATTACCCTCTCCTTTAATGCCTAAATCGTTTTCTTAGATCAGTCCACCTTAAAGAGTTTAACACTGGCAGTGAACTGTGGGATGAGTGAGTAATCATGACTACATTTTTAAAAATTATTCACTAACTATGACAAGCTTGATATTTCGGTAGTATTTTAAGCATGATAATGAATTCCTAGTTAACAATTTAAAATAGAGAATGATAGTTTCAGCACTTTTTGAAAATACCTTTTTATTTATGAAAGAAGATTTATCTAGATTATGACGGTTTCTTTTGCTTAGCGTGTTTACACCTGAAAAGAGAATATGTTGCTGGATTAAGATACTTAAAATTAGTTGTTCACGTTCTATTATTTTTATTTTACAACACAAAGTACTTATTTATAGACGCAATAAGTCCTGTCCTGATTACCTAGTTCAAGAAGTAACAAATTAATTCCTCTGTCTTTTAGGTAGAGTTTTCAGATTCATAAAACTGTGAACGAAACATACATTATGAACTATAATATGAGGAGCTGCTGGAGATCCAAAACTCGAGAATTAATAGTGGGAATAAACTTCTGAAATGATTAATCTTGGGTCCAAAGAAATATTTTATTCCTAATCAGTTACTTACTTATTGCAGAATCTACTTAAATGCAGGGAACGAATTTCAGAGCTTCATATCCAAAAAGTTGAAAATGATTGTCGATAACAGGTTAACTCTTGACTGGGGTTATTCGCAGTACACCTAATGATAATTTTCAGGACAGTTCTTCCTAAATGTATTTATCAACAAATCTTGAGTATTTGCTGTATTAGGCCACTATTAAATAACATGAATAAATTATACTGAAGTCTGTGCTAAAGACTCTGTCCAGAAAGACACCGATAGCTTCGCAGTTAAACTACCTGGCTCAGAGAACACAGCTAAATCAATAACATTCACCTAAGCTACAAATTTTCTCCACTTTTTCCGGATAATATTACTTCAGTGACCAGTAGCAGTTCTCGAGCCTCTTATATGAATTTGAGTACTCTCCAGCAAGCCTCTGGATCTACCTTGTTCACAAGAATTCTGATGGACGCATCCGAGATGATAGTGAGTACAGCGAAATTTACATATATCCACGCCTCTTGAAGATGTTCACAAACTAACCAGTGATAAAATGATAGGATTTCCGTTTGAATTTAGTTGGGTTCATGAAGTGCTGCCGATCGCTTCTAACTATCTAACACTAGTTCAAAGTGCTCCGTCAGTACGAATCGCTTAATTCGGTAGTCATATTGCAAGCTTGATTGGTAGAATTCAGCCACACTACACTGACTGCCTCTTGATGACCAATCAGTGTTGGCACACAGTGTTACAGTATTATTTATTCAGCGACAAAATAAATGAATAATATTATTTCTCTGTACGTGGCATATCGAGTAAATTATTGTTCTCCGTTCTACTGAATAGTGAGAACGACAGGTCAGTAATGTATTCAGTGGATTTTATCTGTATGAAGAAAAGAGACTGTCGTTTAAGGAGTTGCAGTTCTTAGGTTTGTCAATATATAGCATTGAGAGCCCTATTCAGTTACTTTTCCTTATGCTCAGTTGGCTGACATTATTCAATATTTTATTCCGAAATTCTTTTAAATTCCGTAGAGTCAACATGTCCTTTATTTCACTTTTAGACTGTTAATTAAACAGAAATTGAGGTGAGAAATGATGACAGCTACTTGCTGAGGCGTGTGACTGTAGTTTACAATAAACACATTTTCATTCCTGCTTGAAAAAGACTAGTATACACACAAGCTTGTAGCCATAGTTTATACTCGATCTTATGTATTCTTAGATCACTTCACCTTAAAGAGTTTAACACTGGCAATCGACTGCTAAATCCAGAGGTATTACAAAAAGTACACATATAGTTGTTATCAAGTGCTTTAATTTTATTCCAGCTTACAACAGTATGGATAATAAGATTAATGATCACAATGTGAATATAATCATATTAAGTTCATAGAGTCAACAGGCGAAATATAAACTGTACAAAGTATTTTATGTTCTTTTGGAAGAACAATCTTCTTTCAGCTGAAGTGGTTAAGGTACTAAAAAAGAATTAAAGCAAAATACACCACATTCCTTTTCCATCACACAATTCAAAATTTTTCTCGACTTATTCTTTCAAACTAAAATTAACCGATAATTCCTTTTCATTAGTTTTGAATAATGTTTTAGTGGCACGTTTGCAAATCTAATATAATGGTGAATAGTCGGACCAGAAAACAAGACTTATGAACACATTTTGAAGTTATAAAACTGAAATCTACTGATTTGGAAGACCTGCTGTCATTCCTATGCCATCTGGTTCACAAAACTGATCAGCTACAAGTATCTTCATTCTGACTACTGAGTATGATTACATGTTAGTCAGAGTGCCATTGTGATTCATCATGTAATGCATTCTTTCGTGTGTTTACTAGGATAGACAAAAAGATGTTTCAATTATAAATAAAAATACTGGTTTAATTAAGCAATAATAGATTGAATGTATTGTGTTAGGTTGGGTAAGATAAAACTGATACATTGTGCTTTCGTGTCAATGACATGTAGATTTACATTTCCAGATATACTTTATCCTTACCATACATAGAAACACCTTCGATTGCAAATGAAGACGAACTAGTTTTTGGCTTATGAATTATAAAATGTGTATGTAATTTGTTTAAAATGCACTGAAAGTGTTTAGGAATTACTACAAAGCATAGATTATAGGAGACAAAAGTATCTTGCATGAAAAAAGTACCTACTGTAATCTACCTGGTATTCATCAGCTACATACAGTAAAACTCAACCGACTGGTATAACTACTACAAGTTGTAAGGTGTGTGAATACTCCACTGAAGAGTCTAGATGCTTATCAACTGTCAAATATCATTTACTTTTCACATTTTTGAGTGACACTTACCTATGAAGTTAAAGTTCAAAGAAACACTACCTGAATTGATTCTATATGTTACGTTTAGAGATTTCTAATGTAATTAAAGTTTATTAAGGGCGATGTCAAAAGCTGTTAATCAGTCAAAAGCTCAATAATTGTATTCGCGAACGACAATATTAGGGATTTTATATGTGGTATATTTTTCACTCGCATATTTATTTGCTTTGAAACTGTGGTGAGATCAGATTCTGAAGAGTAATTTTTAGCACAGTTAGCTTCAATGACAGTAGAAAGAAATGTTCATTTACAAAACCGACGAACACCGTTATTTCAGTATTCAATACAACCAGTTACTTGCTGTCACCATAATTTTCACATTTCTTGTGAACATCTTCTTCATGTATTCATTCTGTTTTCCCTTCTTATGCATACCTTTTGGTTTACCTCAATTATCCGAGGATATTCTCCACTAGTTTGAGAGTGCTGGACACGTCGTATATATATATATATATATATATATATATACAAATTCAGCTACTAGACTTTTTGATTCCATCCCAGTGTGTCTGGAAAGTCATTGAGTTTGCCTAGTATTCTGAAGGTCCTGGAATATTTTCCTGGTGAGGTTGTGGATGCTCACTGATGAAGAGTCCCAACAAGGCCAAAATTTCTGTGCAGTAATCTATGGTTTTCAATGGTTCTTTAACTGATTTCACCCAAAGATCTAAACTGAAACCGGTTAAATTCCTGTTAACCAACACCTGAAAACCACGTATCAGTTGCATTAATGACAATGATAGATTATTTTAAATCTATTGTTTCTCTAGTATATTTTGTTTTTGTTTGCACTTTGGTGGTTTTGTATTATCAAATCTAGAGTACGATGTAAACACACACAAACTATAGTTCAAATTATTCAATTCAATTTTATAAGTGGCAAAAAACAAAAACTGATGAAGAGATGCGAGTATTCACTGTTTATATATATATATATATATATATATATATATATATCATTCGCCGTTGAAAACTTTGGTTTTTATTTCTGATAAAAATCTTCTATTGATTGGCCTCAAACACCGACAATTTTGATTAGATACATTGCTTCTCCACATAATATATCTTCTATAGACTTTTAGGCTGATTTATATGAATTTATTTCGTAAGGGTTTTCGTGTTTTATCAAGTCAGTCCAGTTGTGCATTTTATTT